GCTTGTCCACTTAATCCCTGATTCCACAACTGTGTTTTTTCAGCAGCCTATGTTTCTGTCTTTGACTGTGGAGAAAGTATAAGCATCCCTGGGCTGGGATGAGAGCCTATGCATCCATGTTTGGTTTCCAACTTCCCTGATGACTTACCACTCTGTGACACAACTTTCCAGCCCTAGGTTTAGCGCAGCTTTCATTTACTTACTGGGTGGGTCAGAGCCTTGTCCTTGACTCTCTGGGCAGGTCAGCTTTCTCCACCCTTCCTGACTGCCTTCTGTCCCTCTCTTTACCTCATCAGAGCGTTTTTATTTTGTGGCGAGAAGGAGAAAGGTGATGATAGTAAGTGGCAGTCAGTAAACAGAGAAGTTAAAATTAGAAGACCTTGGACAATTTAGAGTGTTCTCATCAGTAAAACAGAGATAATAATTCAGATTATGCAGGATCTTAGTGAAGGTTAAATGACTTAATATATGTAACATGTATAATGGTCTGAGGGAGAGACAGGAAGAGAGCGTGTTGTGACCAATTGGGTATAGGAAATGTGTCAAGTCAAAAAATAATGTTATAGACTTTGATGCTAAGAGAAAGTAGTTATTAACAAAGATTTAAAAATAAATGTCTTTTTAATGATGGATTCTATTTTTCCATCTTAAATTCAACAAATGGAATTATAACTTAGTCTTTCATACTTTGAACATATTGTCAGGAGGGACCAGTCACTGGAGAAGGACATCATGTTTGGTAAGGTGGAGGGTCAGAGAAAAAGAGGAAGACCCCCAATGAGATGGTTTGGCCAAGTGGCAGCATCGATGGACTCAAGTGTGGCAACAGTAGTGAGGTTGGCCCAGGATTGGGCAGTGTTTTGTTCTGCTGTGCATTAGGTCACTAGTAGTCAGTACCAACTCGATGGCACCTAACGACAAGAACAAGTCACTAAGGTCCTGGTGTGGCGCTGTGGGTTAATGCGCCAGAATGCAAAGCCGTTTGAACTGCAAGGTCAGTGGTTCAAGCTCACCAGCTGTTCATCAGAAACCCTATACAGGGTCGCTTTGGGTCGGAACTGACTCGATGGCACTTAACAACAATAAGACACTAAATAGACAATATAAAAGAAACCTTGTTTGGAAGAGTTAGTCATCACAGAGACTTAGGTTCATACCTTACTTTTGCTACTTACTAGTTGGAAGATTTCAGTTTCCTTCTCTGTAGCTTGGGAATGTTAACCCCTTTCTCACAAGATTGTTGGAATGTTAAATAAAGCAGCTTCTATAAATTAAACGGCTTATTGCCTTGTCTGCAGCTCAGTGTATTGATTACTTATCCAGCTGCAGAACTGGAATGTGAGTAAAAGAGGAGGCCTGGAGATTTTTCACAGTATTTGAGATCACGAGAATCTGAACTTCACAGGGAATACTATTCTAATGGGGGACTAGCCGCCATTCGGAAGAGGAAATAGAATCTGAGATGGGGCAAACAGTCCTGTATCAATACACAGTGAGGATGGAGAAAAGACATTGGATTGGACAATTGGACACCAAGGCCAATCTAAGTTACTTGAGAACGCCATTTCTGTGGATCAATACAAAAACAGACACTACAGCTGTGTTTTGCCCTTTGTGGGAGTCAAACTGAACAGCTTATTAAGAGCCTGTCTGTTTTGTTCAACTATGCGTAATATATTTTGAAGAGAAAATAACATTTGGCCTCTTTAGGTAGGTGAACATAAAAATGAACCAACATACATGGTAAAATTTGTATATTTAGTGCCTCTGTTGTGAAGTGCCATTGAGTCGATTCCTACCCATAGTGACCCTGTATAGGGTTTCCTAGGAGAAGCTGGTGAGCTTGAACCACCGACCTTACAGCTTAAATGGCTTTGCAGTCTGGCACATTAACCCACAGCACCACACCTTGATTTTCTATGCAGAGCTGTTTTTGTAGGGCACTGAAAGCAAAATCAAGCTGGACAAATGAGAGAAGGTGAGCTCTGGGGAGTAGTTCTCAAGGAATCTCTCGTTGAAAGTAGACTGTTGGCATTTGATGAAGGTCCTGTGAGTCAAGCTGTGGCCAGGGTTTTTGGAGTTTTTTTTTCCCTCTCTCTCTTTCTGCTTTACCACAGGAGGAAGAAGACGTGGCAAGCATTGAGGTAATTTTGTAGAATTGGAGCTGCTATGGTTCTGAGAAAGCTAAATGTATCATATAGACAGTTTCCTCTGCAGGACAGCAGGGGCAGCAAGCCTTTCTGACACCCCTTTGTGAGTGCGTTAGTCCCTGGCACTAGTGTACTTTTCCAGTGGTGGCTCCCTTCCTGGCTGATACTTATTTAAAGAATGCTTTTCCTAGAGTGTCTTAGAATTTGCTTTTTTACCCAAGGACCTGTGTCTTCCTCAGAAAGCATTGAATATGTTTTTTTTCCCAGTAGTAAATTGCTTTCTAAAGGGGCCATATATCTGTGTGTTGTTGTTAAGTGTCATTGAGTTGAACCAATAAATAACATCATGATCAATGGAAAAAAGATTTAAGTTGTCAAAGACTTCATTGGTTAGATCCACTATCAAAACTCTTGGAAGCAGCAGTCAAGAAACGAAACAACATATTGCATTCAGCAAATCTACTGCACAAGACCTCTTTACAGTGTTCAAGAGCAAAGATGTCATTTTGACGACTAAGGTTTGCCTGACCCAAGCAATACTATTTTCAGTAGCCCCATATGCATGTGAAAGTTGGACAATGAATAAGGAAGACCGTAGAAGAATTGATACATTTAAATTGTAGTGTTGGAGAAGAATATTAAAAGTACTATGGGCTGTCAAAAGAACAAATGAATCTGTGTTAGAAGTAGTACAGCCAAAATACTCCTTAAAAACCAGGATAACAAGAGCTTGCCTCTCATACTTTGGGCATATTAACAGGAAAGGTACATCATGCTTGGTAGGAGGTCAGTCAGCAAGGAAGAGGAAGACCCCCAACAAGATATATCAGTACAGTGGCAGTACCAATGGGCTCAAATGTGAGTAACAATTGTGAGGTTGGTGCAGGACCGGACTGTGTTTCGTTCTGTTGTGCATAAAGACGCAATGAGTTGGAACTAACTGGGTGACACCTAACAACAACATCTCTGTATATATATATCAGGAGTGCTGTGGTTTGGTAGGATAAGCACTGGACTGCTAACCACAAGGTAGTGATTCAGGCCTAGCAGCCACTCTGTAAGACAAAGGTGAGGCTTTCTTCTTTAAAGATGTATAGCCTCAGAAACCCTACATAGGGTCGCTGTGC